AAGAAACTATGTGTTTATGTGACAGGCTGCTAGTAACAAAGTAAGTGTTAAGTGGCTTAACAAACAAACAAAAAAATCCTCTGAGAATTAGGTACAGGGACTGCACGGAAAATGAGTGAAAAAGTAGCCAATGTCAAAAAGCCTGAAGAACAGTTTTTTTTTTTAAATACAAGAAAAATCTGTCTCCTTGGAAGCAAAATATAAAGTAATGAAGGGTGGCTCAAGACTTTTGCGCAGTGCTCTACATTGAGATTGTGAAATAAAACACTTTGCCACTCGTGACACCTTGAAACACCCTAAGGTACCTGGACTTGTCTAGCCAAGTCCCCAGTTAGAGAATCACCTCCACAGCCTATGTATTATGAGCTGTCTCCCATTTCTCATAACAGACAAATGTACACACGCTGGGAAGGATGCCAAAGGGCGTTTGGACAGAGATGTTTAAAGCTCCTGCCTCACATACTAATGAGAATCCATTACTGTCTCATTCAAATAGTCTCAAACACACACACACACATACGCATACACAATCAGCACATTCTCATTCAGTGCATAAGCATCTGGCTACAGACACCCCCTTGTCCCCTATGCTTCAGTGCCTGCCAATTACAAAAGAAGTAATCAATTCCACCACGGCTCCGTCCCGGGAAATCGACTTCAATGACACCGGCTACATGGCCGCTGTCTCTGTACCTGACAGCCACTTACACACAAGCAGGGACCCAGTCAACCAGCCTTCTGTTGCTCTTCAGTGCAAGGCCAAGCAAGATAAACCAGATCCCCCTTCCCAACTGGAAGCATTACCTCTAAATACTGTACCATATTTCATGGTCATCATGAATAACAATTTACAACAGTATGTCTAAAAAAGTGTTTTACCCATTGGAATCTGACAAAAAGGACATTTTCACCTGCACACACGCTTATTGCTTTGCAACTGAAGGCTGGCCGTTTGCAGGCAATCCAGGGTCTGGTTGCCTAGGTAACCCTCTAATGTATTTACTGCCAGATCATAAATCAAACAGCAAAATTCTTCATTCGCATTGTTACGACTTGTTTCAATTGCTTGCCTGGAATTACTGGCCCATTTCCCGTCACCAGCAGTTATTTAGTGGAATGTCATTTACTTTCTATGGTGTCTCGTTGTGGCATCGTTTCATGTATGGGCACGGTTTTAATATTAGTTTTCATGTGCTACATGTCCATGTCTTCTACAAAGTGTTTACGATTTACCTTAGAAGCTTCTCAAGAATAAATGAAGAAACACCGGATAAACCTGTAAATGTATTTTTATACAAATCCTATAAAGTTTGTTGTTGACAGGACAAACAGCGTACAGCTTTCTTCTGCTAGCTCAAGGTCCCAAAAGCTTAAAACTCACAGTAAGTGCAGCAAATAAGCATGAACGTATCATCAATCATCAGGTATTGGAAAAACTGGAAACATTTGAACATACAGTATCATTACACAGTGTAATGGTGTAGCTAACCCAAAGTGTTTTTAATAGCTTTGGACAAATGTGGCACTACCACACACGTTCTGGATCCAAAAACAAGTGAAATGACTACATTGTTTTAGTTTTTAAGAAGATTTTTTTTAATAAAAAATATTAAAAAACTGTACATTTATAAAGGAAAACATAAGTAGCTCTAGTATGCCCCAAATATTACAGCCAGTATCTAAAACCTGATTTTGCAAGTGTGGAACACCTCTTTAATAAAACAGTAACTGACGCACCTTACGAGGTGGTAAAATCTCAAGGCTATTTCGTACAGTCTTCTTAGTCACGGCACTATAGTGGAATTTACGGTGATGTGAAGGTCAGCCGAATCAATTTCTCAAGATGGGATTTAAAAAGAGAACCCTGTAAGCTGTTGTCGATGAAGTGATAAATCTCTACTATCATTTGTCTCTTCCCATTTTCATCACCCCCTCTGTGTTTCCCATCTTCTTCCACCTCCTGATTCTTTTTTCCTATTTTATTTAGAAAAAAGCTGGTACAGCTAATGATTTAGCACTTTTTTATCATTATCTTCACATCCTTTTGCATCATTTTCCTCCTCATGTTCGTTACAGTGGATCTACAACACTCCTGACACTGTATGTATGTGTGGTTGTGTGTGTTCAGATTTACCTGCAACTGTGAAATCATGTGTGTATGTTTGGTAAAAACTGGAAAAAAGCCTACGGGGCAGACTACAGCAGCTCTTTCCTTTATCTTCAAACAGCGGCTTGCTAAAACAACAGCATTTGTGCATACGCATGCGTGTGTCTGCCTGCGTGTGCATGCGTTTAATGTTTGCAATGTTACCTTTGGCCTCTTTGTAGTGTTCACAGATCCTTCTGACAGCTGCAAGACCCTCCTGCTCATCTCTCCCGCCTCAAAGAGAAGGAAACACACACAAACACACAAATGAATACAATATATGATGAGACCTTGGAAGCTTTTTATAAAAAAAAAAAAATACAGGTTTTCTTTTTTTGTCAGTCTTTCATCTTATAAAAACACATTTCCAAGAAAGGTTATTCGAATGGAAAAACACTCAGTGCAAAAATTTAGCCCTTCAGGAATTAGGAATATTAACAAAGCTTCTGATTCAATACATTTACTTTTTCAGTAAAGACTTTAAATGCAAGCCTGTAAAGAAAGTACAATATTATTAAAAGTATGAGTTATTATGAAAGTACCATCTAACTTCAAACAAGCTATATGAGGACACTTCACCAAAGAGATTTTAGCCAAAGAAAAATTACCTTAAAAAATGTGATTTTTCTTTGGCTAAAATCTTTTAATGCTTGTAAAGTTAAACAGCAAAATTCTGAATATGAAATCAGTCAAAAGATACTTTTTTGCACCATCACTGGATCCAGGAAGCATAGCCTGACAGGAAAGTGGGGAGCACACTTTTATAATAATAAGTATTTTGATCCCAAAAATATCCGAAGAAATATCAGAGTGCCGCATATTTTAAAAAGCTATTTGGTAGAAGCAAAATAAATGGGTAAAATATGGTGCTTAAGGAATTTATTAGACCACAATCCAATATAATATTTATACGACAGCTGCCCCAAAGTTTCTACAATGTTTCTGCAATGATTTATCAACCAGGATGCACAAGCTCCTCATTCTTGTTATCCAGGAATTTTCCAATTCAGTGTTTTACAAAAAATAGCAGAAAATATAGTGATGCATATTATTATTTTTTGCTTAAGATGCCAAATTACAGTAATTTACTTGCATTCCTGAACACCAAAATTAGTTTTAGTATATGAATGTTATGCTTGACTAATATCTGACTTGTCAGAGAATTCCAGTCT